ATATATATAAATAATTAAATAAATACAAAAATGCATAAAGGGGAAAGATGAGAGACCAAATTCTCTGCTGGATGACCAAAAAATATGTATGAAACTGGTGTCTATATCCCAAACAACATGAGGGATAAATGATACCTGTTGCAAATAATATACTTAGTAAAAGATAGAAGTAAAAAATAATAAGCTATACAGTACAAGGAACTGTTAGCTTTAGGCAATAAAAATGAAAACAATATATCGCTGGAAAACTGAAGCATAAAACTGGATCACTTCATATAAGAAAAAATGCCAGTTTATTGAATATATTAAAATAACTTTGGAAAAAGTTAAATATAAAAATACAGGTCACACTAGATTCAGAAATGCATTACCAGACTGATGCATTGAGAAATAACAGCAAGGACCTTTGGATTGTTAAGGATGGATATGGATTGTGATGATTCAATATACAGCTGCCGGTGAGGATGGCTTGTGTCTGTGAGCACGTCCCGAGCAGGAGCCTCACTTCAGGGGACGTGCAGGACAGATGCCTCCGGTGGCGGTACTTTCCAAACAGGTCCTGCGTGTGGAGATTAGTGGTGCTGCTGGTACATCCGTCTGATCCCGTGTGTTGCTGGAATGCCTGTCTTATGCGTTTTGTAGGGAATGGGCCCTACTTCATCAGAGACATAATAGTGTCTAGTGCTTCAGTTCTTCTTTATATACATTGCCTAATTATCAATCATACAATTAGGTGTTAAAACCAATATATTCTATACTAATAAAAACAGTATTTGTACCTGCATAAAATGATACATACATATACATAAAATGCAAATCATTGCCACTAGGGTAAAAGCAATATTTATAAAGTCTCATAAAATGTAGACAAATACATAAGACCGGTAAATGTAAAAATACATAAAAGCAATATATGAATGTTCCAAATGGAAGGAACATATATAATGAATCAATTAGAGATAATGAAATGCTGGACATAAATTGGTATATATACATGAAGATAGGTGGATAAAATCATAATAGTATATTGACTACATATGGATAACCAATACTAGATAGGTACCATATAGGTATAGTGTGAATCCATCCTTCTAGGAGAAAACAGGAGAAAAATAATAGTTAATATATACAAAATAAATAAATAAATAAATAAATAATCCCTGGTGGTGGTCTGTAACTATAAATAAAAATAAAGATGAATAAAAAAAAGGGTTGGTCTGTAACTATAAATAAAGATGAAAAAAAAAAGGGGGGGGACTATAAATAAAGGTGAAAAAAAAAAGTGGTGGTCTGTAACTATAAATAAAGATTAAAAAAAAAGGGGACTATAAATAAAGGTGAAAAAAAAAATGTATATATTATAGGAAAGCATTAAGCTCAAAATCTACATTGAGTCCCTTAGGGACCAAAGTCCCTAACTTAAAAATCCACTTCGCTTCTGTCTGATCTAGAGCCTTATCAATGCTACCTCCTCTCCAGTGGGTATTCACTTTCTCAATAGGCATAAATGCAAGTCCTGTGGGGTCTCCCCCATGTATCTCTTTAAAGTGCTTGGAAAGATTATGCGTTGGAAGTCCCTTCTTAATATTTCTAATGTGTTCAGCAATACGTATTTTGAGGGGTCTTTTTGTTCGTCCAATATATTGTTGTGGGCATGGACATGTTATTAAATAGATGACTCCTGATGTGGTACAGTCCATGTTGGTCTTGATATCATATTCCTCTTGAGTAGTGAGGGATTTAAATCCAGTGGTTGTGTCTTCTAATGATGGATTATTTCTACATGCTAGACACTTCTTGCATCTTGTGAAGCCACTGATGGTACCTTGATCCAAATCAGCACTTTCAGGTTTAGTGGTCGGTGCCAGCATAAATTGCAGGTTGGGTGCCCTAGTAAAAATAATCTGAGGTTGATTGTCGAGGAATTTAGATAACGTTGGATCATTCTTAAGGATCCCCCAGTGCTTCCTTAGTGTCTTCTGTATTGTATGAAATTGATGATTATATTTAGTGATAAAGGTGGGTGCTGAATTGGATACTTCTATGGTGCTGGGTTTATTGCATAAGGTATCCTCTCTTGGGGTGGTAAGTGCTATATCCATAGATTCTTCTAATAGCGTTGGGGGATAACCCTTTTTCAGGAATCTCTGCTTCATTTCTTCCATTTGTGACTTACACATTTCATTATTCGAGCAGTTGCGTCTTACCCTTCTGAACTGGTTCTGAGGTATGTTTCTTAACCATGTTGACTTGTGATGACTGTTAAAAGGAATAAAACTATTACAGTCCACACTCTTCTTAAAAGTCTTGGTGTTGATTTGTCCCTCTTTGATATAGATATCCAGATCTAAAAATTCAATGTGTTCTTTAGAGTGGTTAAAAGTGAAGTTCAGATGATATGGGTTGTTGTTAAGATACGTTTTAAAACTCTCTAAGGATCCAAGGTCTCCTTTCCATATAAAGAAGCAATCGTCGATATATCTGAGCCACAGGGACAGATTTGCGCCAAATGGGCAATGGGTCCATATAAATTCTTCTTCCCATTTGCCCATAAATAAATTAGCGTAACTTGGCGCAAATCGTGTCCCCATGGCCGTGCCTTCAATCTGTAGATAAAATAAGTCATCACACCAAAAATAATTATGTGTGAGAATAAAAACGATACACTGAATGAGGAAATCAATTTGGTCATTTTTTAAATCGGAATATGTTGCTAGGGAGAATTGTGTGGCCTCACATCCTTGGAGGTGTTCAATTACTGTATAGAGAGAGGTAACATCAGCAGTGACTAAAATCATCTCATCTTCCCACTTAAAATCAGATAAAATGTTTAAAACGTGAGTGGAATCTCTGAGGTAGGATTTTAAACAGGAGACCAAACGTTGCAAATATTGGTCAACGTATTCAGAAAGGTTTGAGGTGAGGGATCCAATTCCTGATACGATTGGCCTTCCAGGAGGTTTCACCAGTCTCTTATGTATTTTTGGTAGATGGTAGAATACCGGTATCCTTGGGTATTGGATATACAGATATTTGTATTCTCTTTCATTTAAAATCCCTCTATCCTTTCCGTAATTCAGTATTTCCTTAAGTTCGTCTTGATATTGGATAGTGGGATCACCTTTCAATTGCAGATACGTATTAGTGTCTCCTAATAATCTCAGATTTTCCTCCCCATAATCGCTGGTATTGAGAATAACCAATCCACCAGCTTTATCCGCTGCTTTTATTGTGATGTCTTCAGATCTCATGAGTTGTTTGAGTGCATTCCTTTCTTTTCTGGTCAAATTATCTTTCGTGATTTTCTTGGTGATTTTGCTCCTAAAGTCTTTCTCGACCATTTTTTCAAATACTCGAATGGAGTCATTTTTCATGTGTTGTGGATAAAAAGTGGAGGTTGGGTGTAGCCCAGTATGAGTATAATCCAAATCTGTTTCTTGTTTTGCCATGTCTTTTTCAAGGAAGAATTTCTTAATTGATAACTTCCGTATAAATTTGTGTAGATCTATAAAAATGTTAAAATCTGAATTCTTGGATGTAGGAGCGAACTTAAGGCCTTTTTTCAGAAGGGATGATTCATCGGAGGTAAGGGTCCTATTGGATAAGTTGAAGATTATTACTTCCTCCTTTTCTGTTGTGTCTGCTGTGTCTGTTCTTCGTGTAGTTCTGCTTCTTCTTCTAGATCTCTTAATGTTCTTTTCTTTCTCACATCCGGAGACATGAAATCTTCCACTGAAAATCTCTTGGGGGGAATCCTCCCCCGATTCTCTAAAAAATCATTCTCAGTGTGAATACTGGAGATATGTCTTTGATTATTCTCCAAGTTAGTCTTTCTGTGATCTGGAGGAAGAATTCTAGGGCTTGGGGATGATGTTTCCTTAAAGTCAGACGATTTTCCACTTCTAGGTACAAAGGAGGTCTGCCTTGGATAATGTTGGTATCTTCCTTGATCTCGATACTCTGTCTTTCTGTGTTTATATCGTTGATGGTGTTGGTTATATGTGACTCATTGTAACCTGTTCTGTGGTGGTCTGTTGTATGTCCAGTCCTTAGAAGAATATTTTCTAGGGGTCTTCCGGGATAATAGAGCACCCCTATAGGACTGATGGTATTGGGGTTATTTCTCAATGCATCAGTCTGGTAATGCATTTCTGAATCTAGTGTGACCTGTATTTTTATATTTAACTTTTTCCAAAGTTATTTTAATATATTCAATAAACTGGCATTTTTTCTTATATGAAGTGATCCAGTTTTATGCTTCAGTTTTCCAGCGATATATTGTTTTCATTTTTATTGCCTAAAGCTAACAGTTCCTTGTACTGTATAGCTTATTATTTTTTACTTCTATCTTTTACTAAGTATATTATTTGCAACAGGTATCATTTATCCCTCATGTTGTTTGGGATATAGACACCAGTTTCATACATATTTTTTGGTCATCCAGCAGAGAATTTGGTCTCTCATCTTTCCCCTTTATGCATTTTTGTATTTATTTATTTATTTATATATATACATACTTTTTTTTTTTTTTAATTTATCACCCCCCCCTATATAGCACTGCTTTGCATGTTTGCACACTCTTAAAGGACATTTAAAGGTATAGCAGCATTCTCTTTGTATTTTTGCATATTTAAAGGGATATCCCGTTTATTTGAGATCTCCACTCATAGCACCTTTATTCACATTTTTGCACATTTATAGGGATACTTTGTCCATTCCAGATTTAAAGGCATAGTACCATATATATATTTTTATATTTTTATTCTCTATGTAGTAGTATTTTAGCCATTAGTCACCTAGCCAGCTCCTGGTATTCCCACTCTTCTAGAGAGTTCTTTTCCCTTGTTCTATATAGGTTTTTAGTGAATCCCTATAATTACCAGTTTTCGAGCAGCTTAGTGCTAGTCTGTCTCCCTCTCTCCTGTGTGGTACATTAGGTACACCAGAACCGTTCTACTTACCCTATTAATTTCACTTTTTGAGGTTTCTTGAGTAAGACTATGGCTTTAAGCAGGAATATTGATTCTATTAGGCTAGAGAGAAAATCCTTCATGGACACCTGGTCACTGAAGGAGAGTGATTTACCCACAACTGAAACTATTCCCCCATCTCAGGGAAAGTCAGACAGTGTTAGATCCCTCATTTACCAACTAGGTAAAACTATGGAGAAAGAGGTCCATGTGTGGTGGGACATAGCCACTTTAGATTTCTATGTGAACAATAACATAGTACCTAGAGGCTTAAGACTATTTAAACGGTCCACATACAAACGTCATGATCAGACTTTACTTAAAAAGTGGGATCAGCTATTGGACAAGGGTTCATTATTGTTAATGGTGTTTCTCATTAATGAAAAGAAAAAAGATTTGACCCAACTAGATCATGAAATTACTGAATTAAAGGCCTCTATCAGACCTCTAGTGGAGAGTGGTGATTATATAGGCCTTTTGGAAAAAATCGAAAAGAGAGTGAAGGACATAGAAGAAAACATCAGGGAAGTCAAAAGAAAGAAAATAATGAGGGATCAGGCCGACTATAGGAATCAAATCCAGGGAAATTGGAAGAAAGATAGGAGACCATTTCACAATTCTCCTATCAAGCATAGAACAGAACCTAGACCCCAATACCATCAGTCCTATAGGGGTGCTCTATTATCCCGGAAGACCCCTAGAAAATATTCTACTAATGACTGGACATACAACAGACCACCACAGAACAGGCAACAACGAGTCACATATAACCAACACCATCAACGATATGAACACAGAAAGACAGAGTATGAACACAGAAACACAGAGTATCGAGATCAAGGAAGATACCAACATTATCCAAGGCAGACCTCCTTTGTACCTAGAAGTGGAAAATCGTCTGACTTTAAGGAAACATCATCCCCAAGCCCTAGAATTCTTCCTCCAGATCACAGAAAGACTAACTTGGAGAATAATCAAAGACATATCTCCAGTATTCACACTGAGAATGATTTTTTAGAGAAACGGGGGAGGATTCCCCCCAAGAGATTTTCAGTGGAAGATTTCATGTCTCCGGATGTGAGAAAGAAAAGAACATTAAGAGATCTAGAAGAAGAAGCAGAACTACACGAAGAACAGACACAGCAGACACAACAGAAAAGGAGGAAGTAATAATCTTCAACTTATCCAATAGGACCCTTACCTCCGATGAAACATCCCTTCTGAAAAAAGGCCTTAAGTTCGCTCCTACATCCAAGAATTCAGATTTTAACGTTTTTATAGATCTACACAAATTTATACGGAAGTTATCAATTAAGAAATTCTTCCTTGAAAAAGACATGGCAAAACAAGAAACAGATTTGGATTATACTCATACTGGGCTACACCCAACCTCCACTTTTTATCCACAACACATGAAAAATGACTCCATTCGAGTATTTGAAAAAATGGTCGAGAAAGACTTTAGGAGCAAAATCACCAAGAAAATCACGAAAGATAATTTGACCAGAAAAGAAAGGAATGCACTCAAACAACTCATGAGATCTGAAGACATCACAATAAAAGCAGCGGATAAAGGTGGTGGATTGGTTATTCTCAATACCAGCGATTATGGGGAGGAAAATCGGAGATTATTAGGAGACACTAATACGTATCTGCAATTGAAAGGTGATCCCACTATCCAATATCAAGACGAACTTAAGGAAATACTGAATTACGGAAAGGATAGAGGGATTTTAAATGAAAGAGAATACAAATATCTGTATGTCCAATACCCAAGGATACCGGTATTCTACCATCTACCAAAAATACATAAGAGACTGGTGAAACCTCCTGGAAGGCCAATCGTATCAGGAATTGGATCCCTCACCTCAAACCTTTCTGAATACGTTGACCAATATTTGCAACGTTTGGTCTCCTGTTTAAAATCCTACCTCAGAGATTCCACTCAAGTTTTAAACATTTTATCTGATTTTAAGTGGGAAGATGAGATGATTTTAGTCACTGCTGATGTTACCTCTCTCTATACAGTAATTGAACACCTCCAAGGATGTGAGGCCACACAATTCTCCCTAGCAACATATTCCGATTTAAAAAATGACCAAATTGATTTCCTCATTCAGTGTATCGTTTTTATTCTCACACATAATTATTTTTGGTGTGATGACTTATTTTATCTACAGATTGAAGGCACGGCCATGGGGACACGATTTGCGCCAAGTTACGCTAATTTATTTATGGGCAAATGGGAAGAAGAATTTATATGGACCCATTGCCCATTTGGCGCAAATCTGTCCCTGTGGCTCAGATATATCGACGATTGCTTCTTTATATGGAAAGGAGACCTTGGATCCTTAGAGAGTTTTAAAACTTATCTTAACAACAACCCATATCATCTGAACTTCACTTTTAACCACTCTAAAGAACACATTGAATTTTTAGATCTGGATATCTATATCAAAGAGGGACAAATCAACACCAAGACTTTTAAGAAGAGTGTGGACTGTAATAGTTTTATTCCTTTTAACAGTCATCACAAGTCAACATGGTTAAGAAACATACCTCAGAACCAGTTCAGGAGGGTAAGACGCAACTGCTCGAATAATGAAGTGTGTAAGTCACAAATGGAAGAAATGAAGCAGAGATTCCTGAAAAAGGGTTATCCCCCAACGCTATTAGAAGAATCTATGGATATAGCACTTACCACCCCAAGAGAGGATACCTTATGCAATAAACCCAGCACCATAGAAGTATCCAATTCAGCACCCACCTTTATCACTAAATATAATCATCAATTTCATACAATACAGAAGACACTAAGGAAGCACTGGGGGATCCTTAAGAATGATCCAACGTTATCTAAATTCCTCGACAATCAACCTCAGATTATTTTTACTAGGGCACCCAACCTGCAATTTATGCTGGCACGACCACTAAACCTGAAAGTGCTGATTTGGATCAAGGTACCATCAGTGGCTTCACAAGATGCAAGAAGTGTCTAGCATGTAGAAATAATCCATCATTAGAAGACACAACCACTGGATTTAAATCCCTCACTACTCAAGAGGAATATGATATCAAGACCAACATGGACTGTACCACATCAGGAGTCATCTATTTAATAACATGTCCATGCCCACAACAATATATTGGACGTACAAAAAGACCCCTCAAAATACGTATTGCTGAACACATTAGAAATATTAAGAAGGGACTTCCAACGCATAATCTTTCCAAGCACTTTAAAGAGATACATGGGGGAGACCCCACAGGACTTGCATTTATGCCTATTGAGAAAGTGAATACCCACTGGAGAGGAGGTAGCATTGATAAGGCTCTAGATCAGACAGAAGCGAAGTGGATTTTTAAGTTAGGGACTTTGGTCCCTAAGGGACTCAATGTAGATTTTGAGCTTAATGCTTTCCTATAATATATACATTTTTTTTTTCACCTTTATTTATAGTCCCCTTTTTTTTTAATCTTTATTTATAGTTACAGACCACCACTTTTTTTTTTCACCTTTATTTATAGTCCCCCCCCTTTTTTTTTTCATCTTTATTTATAGTTACAGACCAACCCTTTTTTTTATTCATCTTTATTTTTATTTATAGTTACAGACCACCACCAGGGATTATTTATTTATTTATTTATTTATTTTGTATATATTAACTATTATTTTTCTCCTGTTTTCTCCTAGAAGGATGGATTCACACTATACCTATATGGTACCTATCTAGTATTGGTTATCCATATGTAGTCAATATACTATTATGATTTTATCCACCTATCTTCATGTATATATACCAATTTATGTCCAGCATTTCATTATCTCTAATTGATTCATTATATATGTTCCTTCCATTTGGAACATTCATATATTGCTTTTATGTATTTTTACATTTACCGGTCTTATGTATTTGTCTACATTTTATGAGACTTTATAAATATTGTTTTTACCCTAGTGGCAATGATTTGCATTTTATGTATATGTATGTATCATTTTATGCAGGTACAAATACTGTTTTTATTAGTATAGAATATATTGGTTTTAACACCTAAATGTATGATTGATAATTAGGCAATGTATATAAAGAAGAACTGAAGCACTAGACACTATTATGTCTCTGATGAAGTAGGGCCCATTCCCTACAAAACGCGTAAGACAGGCATTCCAGCAACACACGGGATCAGACGCATGTACCAGCAGCACCACTAATCTCCACACGCAGGACCTGTTTGGAAAATACCGCCACCGGAGGCATCTGTCCTGCACGTCCCCTGAAGTGAGGCTCCTGCTCGGGACGTGCTCACAGACACAAGCCATCCTCACCGGCAGCTGTATATTGAATCATCACAATCCATATCCATCCTTAACAATCCAAAGGTCCTTGCTGTTATTTCTCAATGCATCAGTCTGGTAATACATTTCTGAATCTAGTGTGACCTGTATTTTTATATTTAACTTTTTCCAAAGTTATTTTAATATATTCAATAAACTGGCATTTTTTCTTATATGAAGTGATCCAGTTTTATGCTTCAGTTTTCCAGCGATATATTGTTTTCATTTTTATTGCCTAAAGCTAACAGTTCCTTGTACTGTATAGCTTATTATTTTTTACTTCTGTCTTTTACTAAGTATATTATTTGCAACAGGTATCATTTATCCCGTTTGGGATATAGACACCAGTTTCATACATATTTTTTGGTCATCCAGCAGAGAATTTGGTCTCTCATCTTTCCCCTTTTTTGCATTTTTGTATTTATTTATTTATATATATACATACGTTTTTTTTTTTATTTTATTTATCACCCCCCCTATATAGCGCTGCTTTGCATGTTTGCACACTCTTAAAGGACATTTAAAGGTATAGCAGCATTCTCTTTGTATTTTTGCATATTTAAAGGGATATCCCGTTTATTTGAGATCTCCACTCATAGCACCTTTATTCACATTTTTGCACATTTATAGGGATACTTTGTCCATTCCAGATTTAAAGGCATAGTACCATATATATATTTTTATATTTTTATATTTTTATATTTTTATTCTCTATGTAGTAGTATTTTAGCAATTAGTCACCTAGCCAGCTCCTGGTATTCCCACTCTTCTAGAGAGTTCTTTTCCCTTGCACTTGATATAGGTTTATCTTACTGGTACTTTTACATAATATTGTCAAGTAAAAAAAATAAAATGAAAAAATAAATCACAAGTGAAATTGGTTTAGCCTTGATGGCTTTTCAATGCGCTTTATTTTTCTTCTACTTAGGCAATTCTTCATAGCCACATGATCCATTGATTAAATTTTTATAGGCAAATATACGCTCCTAGGTTGTTCCTTCTATGCTGCCACACCCACCATCTTTGGTAGAATAAGCACTTTTTAGGACTTAACACCTTCCTCTTGTAAGAAACTGCCAATAATGATTGTAGCAGTTGTCAAACAAACAATATAACATCTCTAAATACAACAATTCTTCCAGTTTTTAAATAATATATTCTTGATTCTCAAATTACTTTATGTTCATCCACATTAACATTAGAATAACTGGAGTGCCATATTTATCCATCATGTTTTATCTTCGTTATAGAATATAAACTATTCTTTCAAAAGGCAATATTAATGTGTACCATACCAACACTATTCAACAATCCCCTACCAAGTCATGGTGATGAATACAGTAGTTCAAGTTCAGCTCTACTTTTCATTTTGTATTTTCAAATCAGGTGTTTCATAATTTATAAAGTCATATTTTGACAGCAATGAGATGTTTGACCTTTCTGCTATGTAATCTTGCAGGCGATACCTTTATACTTTATGTACGAGCTTGTCAAATTATATTTATAATACCCTTTCATTACTGTATTATGTGCAATGTAAACTGTCAGAGCTACATAAAATAATAATATCTGATATGTGTACATTGAATAATACTAAAATAAAGAGTTGTAAACCAATTTAATCCTTCTCATATAAACTTATATTTTTGACAATCTTTATTTTATTAGTTAGCAAAGAGTTCACAAACAGGAAAGTAACCAACAGTAGAGAAATAGTTAACAATGAGAGTATAGCGTACATGAGATTATAGGGGAAGCCCTCGCCCAGAACATAATACAGATGAATGAACAAAAGCAATATGAGACGCTTGTAGAAGGTATGCATCAGTTCCCT